AACTAATGCATGGGCGGTAGAAGCCAATAGTGTTATTGTAAATCAGTGGGTATAGAATATAATTTATCGTTACTCAGTAAATAATGTATTTTATTGTCAATAGAATTCCTTTATTAAATATTACCTCTCTGTTCTTTCGCTTATGTATTTAATTACTAGACGGTAATTATAGTCTATTCATAAAATAATGTACACATTTTTATTGTCAATACAATTGAATTCTCAATTTAATATAATTCTCGGTTCTTTCACTTACGTGGTAAATTACCAGTGAGTAAGTATATAGTTTATATAAAATAATGTACACGTTTTATCGTCAATATAATCCATTATTAAATATTACTTTCTTGTTCTTCACTTCATGTTAAATTACTAGACGGTAATTATAGTTTATTAATAAAATAATGTACGCATTTTATCGTTAATGGAACTCTCTATTGAGTATTACTTCTCTATTCTTCCATTTATCTGTCAAATTATCAGTTCGTAAGTATATAGTTTATTTATAAAACAATGTACATATTTTATCATCAATAGAATTCTCTATTAAATATTACTTCTCTGTTTTTTCACTTGTGTGTCAAATTACCAGGGCGTAAGTATATAGTTTATTCATAAAATACTGTAAAGTACACATTTTATCGTCAATAAAATTCTCTATTAAATATTACTTCTCTCTTATTTCACTTACGTGTTAAATTACCAGGAAGTAAGTATATAGTTTATTCATAAAATAATGTATACATTTTATCGTCAATGGAACTCTCTATTAAATATTACTCTCTGTCTTTTACTTACGTGTTAAATTACTAGGGCGTAAGTATAGTTTATTCATAAAATAACGCACATATATTATCGTCAATAAAATTCTCTATTGATATTACTTCTCTGTTCTTTCACTTACGTGTTAAATTACCAGGGCGTAAGTATATAGTTTATTCATAAAATAATGTACACCCATTTTATCGTCAAAAGAATTCTCTATTAAATATTACTTCTCTGTTCTTTCACTTACGTGTTAAATTACTAGAAGGTAATTATAGTTTATTATATAATAATATACACATTATATCGTCAATAGAATTCTCTAATAAATATTATTTCTCTGTTCTTTCACTTATGTGTTAAATTACCAGTGTGTAAGTATATAGTTTACTATAAAATAATGTACAGACATTTTATCATCAATAGAATTCTCTATTAAATATTACTTCTCTACTCTTTCACTTACGTGTTAAATTACCAGGGCGTAAGTATATAGGTTATTCATAAAATAATGTACGCATTATGTCGTCAATAGATTTCTCTATTAAATAACACTTCTCTGTTCTTTCACTTACTTGTTAAATTATCAGGGTGTAAGTATATAGTTTATTAATACAATAATGTACACCCATTTTATCGTCAATAAAATTCTCTATTAAATATTACTTCTCTGTTTCACTTACGTGTTAAATTACCAGTTTGTAAGTTATAGTTTATTAATATAATAATGTACACACATTTTATCGTCAATAGAATTCTCTATTAAATATTACTTGTCTATTCTTTCACTTACGTGTTAAATTACCAGTTTGTAAGTATATCTGATATAGTTTATTCATAAAATAATGTACACACATTTTATCGCCAATAGAATTCTCTATTAAATATTACTTCTCTGTTCTTTCATTTACATGTTAAATTACCAGTTCGTAAGTATATAGTTTATTCATAAATAATGACAGATTTTATTGTCAATAGAATTCTCTATTAAATATTACTTCTCTATTTTTTTTCACACATGTGTCAAATTACCAGTTTGTAAATATATAGTATTCATAAAATAATGTACACACATTTTATCGTCAATGGAATTCTCTATTAAATATTACTTCTCTGTTTTTTCATTTATATGTCAAATTACCAGAGAGTAAGTATATAGTTTATTCATAAAATAATGTACACATTTTATCGTTAATAGAATTCTCTATTAAATATTACTTCTCTGTTCACTTACATGTTAAATTACCAGAGTGTAAGTATATAGTTTATAGTTTATTCATAAAATAATGTACACACATTTTATCGTCAATAGAATTCTCTATTAAATATTTTCCTGTTCTTTCATTTACGCGTTAAATTGTCAGGATGTAAGTATATAGTTTTTCATAAAATAATGTACACATTTTATTGTCAATAGAATTCTCTACTAAATATTACTTCTCTGTTCTTTCACTTACGTGTTAAATTACCAGGTCGTAAGTATACAGTTTATTTATAAAATAATGTACACACATTTTATTGTCAATAGAATTCTCTATTAAATATTACTTCTTTGTTCTTTCACTTATGTGTTAAATGACCAGTTTGTAAGCAAAATTTATTCATAAAATAATGTACCCACATTTTATCGTCAATAGATTCTCTATTAAATATTACTTTTCTGTTCTTTCATATCACCAGTTTGTAAATATATAGTTTATTCATAAAATAATGTACACCCACATTTTATCGGTAATAGAATTCTCTTAAATATTACTTCTCTGTTTTTCATCTATATGTCAAATTACCCAGTTTGTAAGTATATAGTTTATTCATAAAATAATGTACACACATTTTATCGTCAATAGAATTCTCTACTAAATATTACTTACGTGTTAAATTACCAGTTTGTAAGTATATAATTTATTCATAAAATAATGTACAACCATTTTATCGTTAATAGATTCTCTATTAAATTTTACTTCTCTGTTCTTTCACTTACGTGTTAAATTACCCAGTTGGTAAGTATATAGTTTATTCATAAAATAATCTACACGCATTTTATCATAAATAGAATTCTCTATTAAATATTACTTCTCACTTACGTGTTAAATTACCAGGGTGTAAGTATATAGTTTATTCATAAAATAATATACACACATTTTATCGTCAATGGAATTCTCTATTAAAATATTCTCTGTTCTTTCACTTACGTGTTAAATTACCAGGGCGTAAGTATATAGTTTATTCATAAAATAATATACACACATTTTATCGTCAATGGAATTCTCTATTAAAATATTCTCTGTTCTTTCACTTACGTGTTAAATTATCAGGATGTAAGTATATAGTTTATTCATAAATAATGTACCGGTATACACATTTTATCGTTCAATAGATTCTCTATTGAATATTACTTTTCTGTTCTTTCAAAATTACCAGGGCGTAAGTATAGTTTATTCATAAATAATGTACACATTTTATCGTCAATAGAATTCTCTAATAAATATTACTTCTCACTTACGTGTTAAATTACCAGGGCGTAAGTATATAGTTATTCATAAAATAATATACACACATTTTATCGTCAATAGAATTCTCTATTAAAATATTATTTGTACTTCACTTACGCGTTAAATTACCAATTTGTAAGCTTTAGTCATTTTCACATTTGCACTTTTTGCCAGTTTTGCACATTGTGTCAGTTCTACACCTTTTTCAGTTTTGTCACTTTCATAATTTCGTTGCTTTTCATTAGTTTCATCACCTTTCTCTATTTAGGTTTAGTTGATAATAGGAGAAGCCGGTTGTTATGAAATATTTTATAGTAGGTAAAAAAAAAATATTATAAATCAATAGTTGAACCAAGTATCTGTAAGAAGTTATGGGCCGCAAAAGCAGCCCCAAATATCTTACAGATATTTATTTACTGATTATTAGCATTTGTTATTCATTATTGCCTTCGATGATTAATTCACAGACAAGTTCATTTCATTTCACTGACAAATTAATTCTGGTCATTGTCATGGAATACAGTAAACCCTTAAGATTAGTGCAATTTATTAAAAAAAAATTTAACTGTTGTTAAATTATACTGTCTATGAAATTAGCTTGTCTGTGAATAAATTGTTTATGAAATTAACTTGTCTGTGAATTAATTATCTGTAAAATAAACATTGTCTGTGAATTAACTGTCAGTAAGTTGATCGAAACTAATTCATAATTTATTATATAATAAAAATCTAGAGATCCACACAAAAATATAAACCCATTTATATTAATTATCAAATATTTATTTCGCTTAATTAAAGTATTCATTTCATCCAAATTAATTAGAGAAGATTCTAATTCATTAAATTCGTTATTACATAATCTTGAACAACTTTATTAACTTCATTCTGTTTACACTAATTAAATAAATATGGTATTTAGACATCAAGATATCTATTTGAATTCATTTTATTTAATTTTATTATGTCAGTAGTAGAGAAATATTAACTCATTATTAATTTTATGTTATGATATTTTAGTAAAAAATAATTTATAAATTGAGGTATTTAAATAAATTATTCAAATTTGTGAATCTTCACTATCAAGTAATGCTTCTCATTTATTCGAATATGAAAACTATTAATTTATTAGCAGTATCCAAATTACTGTCACACAATTAAACTTTGTTCTGTATACACAACCATTAAACAGGCGGCGAAGCCGCCGCATTGCAATTTTTAGTTACATTATAATAATGAGTGAAAACCAGGAAATAGAAAAATAAAAATTGATGATCAGCGTTTTGATAAGAAAAATCTCGATCATATGCTAGTTAATATATATCGATATCAATAAATAAAATAGATTCATGAAATATGTACGCAAAAGTAAACTGATTATTTATGTGAATTTGAGCCACCAGGGCCAGCTTTATTGATATAAAAAACATACAAAATATTTTCATTAAAGAGAAATGTAGACGTTGGTGTCCGTACAAGCAAAAAGTAAATATTACTATATTATATCAGATATATGGAAAATAAAATATTGTGTCGGCATTTTGTTTTTTTGGATGTAATCACAATAGCCCAGTTTGCATATCATACCGATTGCTTATTACAAAATAATGCAATAGTATATATATGCAAAAATACAGTTTTTAAACATAAGTTATGATAACACCTTTTCTAGATCTTATCTATAGTGATAATCCTCTATCCTAACTTTCTTTTTCATGCCGGATTTATCCGCACATGCCCTATCTTTTAGCAAACTGCAACCACACCAAATACTCTTTTTACACTTTTATGCAATATTTGATATTCTTCAGATTCCTTATTCAATGCATCTTCAGTAAATTCAATAGTATATATATGGTAATTTACTAACTTGTGAGATCTCTCCGGGACTATATAGCAAAAAAAAACCAATCCCTCCCTGTCGTCACTATTCCATATAGATAATCAAAGTCACCATAATCCCCAAATGTATTACTTGCCTTTTTTTTTTTTTATTCATTTCGTACAAGATCTCGAGTTGGCAGTTGTTCTGAGCTATACCCACAGGTATTTGGTGTTGTTTATTCTCTGTCACACAAATTAAATCCTCAGAATCCTGAGATAAAAATAAGCCTCAGTTTCTCTTTGAAAATCAAAGCAGAATGGTTTATGAACAAAACCCATCTTAATTGCATAATTAACTTTTCTGTATTTTCATTCCCAACAATTTCATATCGAGGCCTCATGCTAAATTTCTTTTGTGTGTTGTCTCTAGCAATTACTATGACATATTCATTACGCATAGCTTCTAAACTATCCACCCATAATTTTTCAGTCTGACCATAATTTCTGCCATGCAATGTGCGAAGTGCTTGTCAGAATCCTGAATCTTACTGGTTATTTTGGCTTATAAGAGACAACATCAGATTATGTTATAAATAATAACGTATATATGACTATTGATACTAGACTTACCTATATTGAACAGTGGAATAACTTCGATACCATCATTATCAAGCTCGTACTTCTTTTAGACTTTTGTACGATTAATATGTTCTTAGTTTCTGTTTACTGAGTTCTTTAGTGAAGTCGAAAAGCATTCACCTGCCATTTTATAACTGCGAAGCTTTTCTTCACTTATCTTGAGAAAGTCACAACCATTAATTTTTTCTTTGCTAATGATTTCTAAATCATCCTTGTCAAGATCTAGGTCTTCTTTTTTCTGTAAGAAATCGATGAGCTCTTTCATTTTCCACCTTTTGGCCATATGGGCTAACGTGAGTAAGTCTTTATTGCAGTAGTAGAGGTAGAAGAAGACAACTCGGACATGGTATTTATACGTTTTGTTTAGGTTCAGATAAAGATAGTGTTACGACCCACCAGCATAGCGGGCTTTTATTCTGATTGGATAATTTTTGTAAATCATTTCGTGATTTTACAAAATCTGATTAGTTAATAGATTATATTAAGAATGAGTCGAAATAAAATATTTTGCAAGATATTAATTAAATAAAAGATACATTTATTT